TAACTTTAACTTGTATTGAGTAAGATATAAGTCTCTATTATCCAAGCATCTCCATATAAGGACAGCATAATGTAATTATAAAGGGATATATATATCATTTATTGATATATATAAAACATTAAAGATAATTACGAAGTTTTTAGGAAATAACTATAATATTGAATGAAACCTTTTAATATGAACGGAATAAAACTTAATGAATATGTCTGCATCATAACGCTATACTTGATATTTAGCCCTTAATGAACGGCATTAACAATACATTAAAAAGTGACAAAATAATTACCATGGTTAGTACTATTAGATCTTTGTAAATAGTAACCACATTATTAATAATCTAAAACTTACTAGCATTTTGAACTAGATAATTTTATATGCTACCAAATCCAGAGACTCAGTTAGGATCAGGTATTATTTGAGTCGCCTTAAAACTGGTACTATTTTAGGAAAAAGTGCTCACCTTTATTATAGCTTTAATCGACTTTATTAAAACCTTCATAATTTCAATGCTCTTTTTATGTATTAAACTTTCAATGTATTTAAAGTTAGATCATTTATTGGATATCAAAGGAGAATTATCAAAAGGATTTACAAGAACAATCATTGAAAGCATCTAACACAATACGAAACGGAACTACCTTGAGTTAACAACTTCTCCAAGAACATTTTATACTCTTATTAAAAAAATAATAGGACAGATAAGCTTAGGTAGTTTATCATAGTGATAAGTCAACTAGCATTTTTAGGGAATACGTCATATGATAGACCCGTAATGTATTGGAAATTTATGCCCGGTATATGCGATAAGTAAAGTTTTAGAAACATTGATCAGCGGCTTGCTAATAGTGCTGTTTATAGTATTAAATATTTAATAATTAGAGGACTTAAATTATAGCTCAAGTAAAGAGGTAGTATTGCAGTCCAAGGGGAGGTGCTTTTTTATTAGCGTAAGTTAATAGTAAACCTTTTTAGGTATAATAATTATTATACAAAGAATAATCTAGATTAACTGATTCCTAAGTTTTAGGATCATCATTCTCAGTAGTAATAATAAGGTTGTAACAGTAATACATTTTGGAGATCCTTATGTTAGTTAATCTCAATAGTTCATATGAAGCTTTATTTGCAACAACTTAAAATTTTATGTCTTGTTATTAAGACTTGTGCATGGGCTACATTATTTATTTTCCCGAGCGAGTTGGCATCTTGGTTTGGCGTAACACGGTTAATTTACATTCATTATTCAAGGTACGGGAAATTTTATAAGGAGAAAATAAAAATTATTTTGCTATATCCACTTTTTACATTAGTTCCTGTTGCCCAGACTTTTATATTAAATGCTACTGATCCTGTATATAACTTTCCATAATACTTTTTATGAAGTCGACCTCTAAAGATTTCCATCATCAGGGTTTACTTTAATTACATATGAAGTATTAATAATTACTATTTATTTTTACTTAATTATATATAGAGTGTAATTGGGGATTAAATAATAATATAGTTTGAGACCCTAATTTTAATCAGTAGATATATTACACTCTTTATATGTTGTGGAAGATATATTCTGTTTATATATTTTGTGCCCATAATACATATATGTATATATTTTATTTTTAAGTTATTTAAAGGATAATTTATAAGTTTTATATATAACTCAGTAGGAATATGGAATTTTCAATATATTCACAAATATAATAAAATATATACTTTAAAATAAAGCTTTATTTTACCGGCTACGCCACGTGTATTTTTAGCTGGTTGCCTGTTCGACGGGTGCAATATTATGTGAATATCCAATAATAATGCCAATGACCAATTCTTGAGATCCATTATATCCTTATTATATTTACATTTTTATGAATTATATTTTAATATATAATAAATCGAAGGTACAGGTCTGGTAATATCATTAAAATATATCATCATGATAACATTGCTACCTAGCTGCTTCATATGATTTATTTATCTTTAGTATGTCTTATGCCATAGATTAAAAGGGAGAGCGATAAATGGCGGGTTCTTTTGTCCTACCCGTCTGATATCATAGTCATCCTCAAGGAGGTTCCTCATAAGGATTTTTACTATTAAAGGATTGTGTTTAGCTGGTTTTATAACATGCGTACATCTCCATATGATATTACTAATATTATATGACCTATAGTACATGGTGTGATTAAATATGGGTAAGGATCAAATTCATAAGGCAAAATATCTAGTATCAGGAATTTATAAAGGTTGAATAATTTAACTTCTTAATACTGATATAAAAATTTATTATCTTAATTTCATCTTTATTTATGATATAATATTTAGCATTTATTGCATAATTATACCTGTATTTCAATGTCTATGACTTGGGCATTAGAAATTTAAACTAGATATTAATTATACCTTATGAAATTCAAGAGAAATAACTTAAATTAGCATAAAGACTTAATTTATATATTGTTAATATTACTAATATTATTCTTCAATTTATATACACAGAGTAATTTAATAGGATATATCTTTATGTATAGCAATCTTGCTATTATATTTTACGTTATTCCCTATTGATGATATCCCATATTCGTATGACAATAATGTATTAATAATTATATCTATTTTAAGGAGAATGAGAGACAAAATTTTTTACTTTTGCATACTTAAAAATTGGGAAGGTTGTAGTAATGAGGGTGATAAGAAACAAAAAGCATCTTGATTGTATCAAAAACATAACATGGAGACAGATGAGTCATTGTTCGAATGGTTATTGATTTTCGTGATCCAAAATTAAATTCAACAAGATAAACAAAATGGAGCAGATATTTTTAAGAGCATGCAGTGACTTTAAAAGAATCCTATTGTTTTATACTTATAGTAATAAAGTATTAATTGAAATTAAAGCGTTATTTTATTAGTAATTAAAGCATGAGGCGTTAAATCAGATATCCATTAATTGGGGGGAATTTATAATGATGGTTAATTGTTTCAGTCAACATTAAATATAAAGTTGACATCTGATAAATCGATAAGTTGATATTTACCTAATTCGTATCGTACGTATTATGGTTTATCCGAGTCAATAATAATCCCTTGGTGCTTTTAATATTATTGGAGGGAAGAATGGGAACATAAATAATTGGACTATCTACTATAATAATGCTTGTACTAAAACAGTATAAGTAAATTTATTACAGCTAAATAATCGAATTATGCGAATTAAAACAATAAAAACTCGACCCTTATCATTAGGGCTCGACCGCGCAATAAATGCTAATAAATAATATTAAAATAAGCAATTGGACCGCATGTGGTCTACTAAATAATAAATAACCATATGCTACCTACCACATGTTTAGCTAATTTTAAAATAACTAATTTAAGAATTACTACCAATAAAATATCACTACATCATAATTATGCTAAGTTAAATGTAAAGGTAATTACTAATAGGATGGATTATAACCAAAATATCTAACTATAGGAGGGTATTACTAAGTTAACATATTATTGTCAACTATTACTCAGTAGTAAAGCATTATTGTCAAATATGCTTAGTATAAATATAAGTTTACATAATCATTATAAGTTAGCTGGATAGGTATCACGGTATAAATGTAATTAGAGTATTCCTTACCTACCTTAATATTAGTAAGTCATTTATAACAGGCTTATCTATTACCTACTCTAATCCATAATAGTATTTCACATATTTATGGTTATTTACCTTTATATATAACATAATCTATCACAGAAATAACTATAATCCTGAGTTAATTGAGATAAAGTATTTTTCACACAAAAAATTAAGTTCTTAATTTGCTGCTGCGTTGTTTGGGATGATCGGTAAGTCCTTGAAAGTGTGATTAGTAGAGTAGCAATAAATGAGTGGTTAGTTATTTCACTTACTTTTTTTCCTATTTTACCCTCAGTATTAATTAGTATATTTTATAGGATAATTAGATCCTAGTCGTGAAGATTTATCTTAATGTAGATCAGCATCTTAAATATTAACCTTAAGATTTAATTGTATATATATGAATAAAAATTAATCCTCTTATCATAGGACTTAGTATTATACCTATGATCTATTTAATTCTCATTATCCTAATTTCATCCATGCCTTTTAGTTAATAAGGATGACATATTTATCACCACATGCAGCGCAGCATTTGGGAGGCCCGCATACAGGGTTTTATATATCTTAGCAAGCTTCATACATTTATAAATTGAACAACATAGATACGAAATAGGGTAAGCATTTTTAACATCGATGGGTATAGATTAAGTATAAATGAACTGGTATTGATTAAAAATTGAGTAATTTGGCTTGATTCTTGCTTACTATAGATCGAATATAAGTAAGCATTTATTTTAGGAAGGCCACCGCATCCGTTCATATAGGTTTAGATGTAAGTTTAGGTAAATGTTGATAAACTGATAAAGTAGGTTATAATTATAAAATGCTCGCTCATTTGCTGGAACGATGCAGTTAATGATTTCTATGTTATACATAATATTTATTAGCATTTATTGCGCTTATTCTGCTTTGATCTTCTTAGCATTTACTAATGCAGCAAACTCTCAATACTAATCTTAGACCTAACATATTTATTACCGATAATAAAAGTAACTTATATAGAGAATAATGTTCTAATATACATGGTTGTAGGTTATAGCACTCTATTAATAGGGCTCGACTTAAATGGCTAACCACTAAATGAAGCTAAATTTACTTTATACTTTTATTGTTAGACAATCACACTTAGCTCTAATTTAAACTCCTAAGTATTGTTTAAATATATTTAGCAAATGTATTAGGTCCCAATTATTCCTATAATTAAATCATCTGCATATCTAACATATTTAACTCTATTACCAGTTAGAATTAAAAATTTTATTTAATTTATTTAATTTATAATATTACGAGTTAATATATTATAAATTCACATGCCTGATACTTTCAATTAAGATCTATTTTTAATGTTAACCTAATAAATAAGGCTTCTATAGGATTCCCAGATTAGGATTCGAACCTATACCAATGGATCATGAGCCCATCATGCTACCATTACACCATCCGGGATTTTAATTCCCAATTAATTTTTCTCTCTATGCTTCCCCATTTACTCTATAATTATTAATACTATAAAGCATTTAGTGAATCTTATGGCATTCACAGAAGAGATATATTTAGGATGTCGGTCATTTTAGGTACGATCTTATTAATTAAGTTATATAGGGTAAGGATGCTCTCAATTTATATGGTAATGATCTCTTTTTCACTAATCCTTCCATATAGTTTAACCCTTAGATAAGCCGGGCCTATAGATAAAGTGCTAAGTGTCCTAATATGCTATTAGGGTGGCTAGGATTTTTATAGCGGCTTATAAAGTAATACTATTACATGTTAAATAGTTGAAATATACTTACATTTAGAGGTGTACATTCATCACTACCATAATACAATTTATATGTGGCGCCTTTATGGAGTGTAAATGAGCATCAAGCTTGCGCATTATCAATTAGATGCTGTCGTTATTGTTTTATTTGGTTATTATACAGTAAAATATGGATACAAGTTAGTGGTAATTAAAATGCTTATATATACATATTAATACTAACCTATCTATACCTTATAACATATATTGCTTTAAAATAAGCATAACCTGCGTTGGCTATGGTGAACCTTTATATTATAAATTTATTTAGATGGGTTCATTACAGCATCTATTCCTATCACAATTAGTGTTATGCTGTAGTATAACTTACTTAAATCTTTATTTACAGTAATTATTAGTTCAGTTCACCTTTGGTACCAGCTTACGCGCTTACGCGCTTACGCGCTTACGCGCTTGCGCGCTATAATTAATTATAGTTCTCTTGGTATCTATCTATAAGAGATATATAGCTATGATTGTAAGTTAAAATTAATTCACATAAGGCTTAAGTCCTACCTATTAAGTTGTAACTATCCCAGAGGGATATATTATTAGTTTTTGTAGCCTCACTAAAGTGGTTATACTAAAAGAGTTAGCGGTTTACTTGGTCCTTGAAGGACATATAATAGGAAGTAGTTAACCTAAAACCTAAGGATAAGAATGAGGTTAACCATCGTCATGTTCGAAGTATTAAATGCTTCCAGTTTCCTACTGACCTAATTGCATAATCCTTTGCATTTTAACTCATATGTATCATTGGGTCTAGCCTCCATATTCCTTTAGGATATTAATTCAAGGCTGGAGTAATAGGTTGCAGTTGTATGTTGGGATTTAGTTAACGATTCTTTATAAATACTTTATAGGTTAATGCTAGGAAGGACCGTAATTATAGAGAGACCATCCCTAACCAGTAGGTGTTGTAAGTGGTCTATTAATTGTGACCTACATGGACATTACTTCATACTCCTTTATACTCTTTCCCTCTATTATTGAATAATAATAACTGTTTATTATCCCAAATACTGCTCCCATACTTAATACATATATAAATAGAGCTATGACATATCTATAAATGTCTAAATTTGATAACCTCACTACAACCACATATTGTAAATAATAATATAAATCCTATACTATATCAATACTATATTACTTATTACACCTCCATTTATTGTCCTTATTCAAGAAAATACTTTTATTGATGTCGGTATTATCATCGTTGCTGCTGTAAAATACCACCTTATAATTTTTTGTCTCTCAATATATTTACCTATTGAAGTGTTAGGTGAAGGATGCTATAAACAGACCGGATGGACTATTTACAATAACCCCTTACGGGGGTAGGGAAATTATCCATATTACCAGTACAGGAGCAGTATTATATAACTACGAGGCATGTCGAATTAAATAAATTCGTATTACTGTATCCCCCTAACGGGGAGATTATTACACTATTATACAATTAACCACCAGCATTTTTTACATTATTATCTATTTATTTATAATATTAGTTTTTGGTTTTAATATATCATACAAATTATCATAAAATTCCGTATTTAAAATAGAGCCATGAAAGCAATTACGATCAGTACCAATGAATACTCACCCTAAGAGCAGGTACAGCTAAATATGTGTCCATTAGAGAAAACGTTTCTCGATAACTCTAGCATATAAACCTTTAATGGTTCTGATTATTTTAAATCCTGTTCACTACTTAACTTTGTCGAATAATAAGACATAAAATAGTTGCAGCAACGGGTAATATTGGTTGACTTTGATTGTTTGATTGGTCCTTATGTTGGCAATTGTAATGAAGCTAACCTTAGTGATACAGATAAACATATCTTAATATTAAACCTTCACAGATAAAATGCAAATATCCGATGATGTGCTACCAATAATATTATAACATCCAGCTGCGCGCTGCGCGCTGCGCAATTAATATAAATCTAGCTGATCGGCATTACAATGCTTTAGCATTATTATGTAAATACTTAAGGAATGCTATAAACAGTAATATCCTTAATAAAGATCTCTTAAAATTTAAGCATCATAATACTTTAATACACTATAAATTAAATAAACCTATTAAAATATTACATAATCTCATAAAATATAACATATTTAGGCATTTAATTTAAAGATAAAAGAGTACAATAATTTAATATAAAAAGGATATAATTTCTGTTTTTAAATAGTTAGTAGCTAAGATAATTAAAGGGTTATATTAAAATAAGAATATTACAAGTACTAAATTAAAAATTAAAGATAGTTCTAATAGATTGGTATCATATTTATAATTTAATCAGTAAAAAGGGATATAAATTACCTTTAAATATAAAGATATATTTTTGTAGATTATAAGAAAAGAGCTGTAAGATAAGAGGATAGCAAGTAAGATCTAAATTATATGAAAATCTAATAATAATTATATAATAGGACAAGAAAATCCTATTTTAAGTTGATTGAGATTAAACTTATTCTAAAAATGATAATGTGTATAACCAGTTATATCTTATTCCTATTTTAATTATAAAATAAAGGATCCTAAATTAACTCTAAATTAACCCTTTAAGAATAAATGTCTACATCTTTAGCTCTCTCAGGTATACCATATATCTTGTACTAATAATTCTCTTAATGTGGAAGATATTTAAGTGGACATTTTTAAAGAGATTAAAGATACCTTTAATAAAAATATTTAAAACCCTTAGCTTACTTCATAATAGATCACACTTAAAGTAATAAGAATTCAAATAGAAAGGTTCTAGTATTACAGCTTTTTATTATCCTCTTTAAAATTATAGTATAGTTTCTTTCATTCTTTTTAACCTAGTAATTAATTATTTTTATTAATCATAGATATAATTGCTATTTATAACAAAATATATGTATAATTTGCTCAATAAGTCTGTATAATTAAGAAGATAATCAAGTAAGTAAGTAAGGTATATAGTCCTAAAATAGGTTCTCTGCATAGTTAAGATAGTTAAATTGTGTATTAAAATAATTAATTATCTTCCAACTGATAGTTACGTAAATACCTTAATTATTTTAATACTTTTATACCTGTAGGTAATTATATCGAAATATTGATGATAATACCAATTATATGAATAAATGCACCAAGACTGCTATCCCATCTATAATAGCTAATTATCTTTAAGACTCCTAATAAAGTGATACCTTTATTAGGATAAGACTCAATAATAAATTATGATGGATATTACCATTTTTTATATTTTTAGAAGGAATAAGAATAATTTATACTCTTAACTACTATTTAAGACTAATAATTCCATAATAGATGTACTATATACGATAAGGAGGAATATTAAACGAGTACAGAAGTAGGTAGAGTTATAATAACCCCCTTGAGGGGGTACCTTTTAACTCAAATAAAATTTATATGCTATTTATAGAGGTATCCATATAAAATAAGAAGTAATGGAATATGAAAATATAATCATTTAATAGTTTTAATTATATCTCTAATGAGTTTAAGGTAAATATCTAATATTATTAAACTAATCTCCTTACAAATATACGACATGATTTATAATAATTAACCATAGACTAATAATAGATTTGTAATTATATTATAATGTAGAATGCACATAATAGTTATCATATTATTAATTATATAATACTGAGTAATGAGAACATTCTAATGATTATGGCAATGTTCTATTAAAATAGTAAGTATTATTAAATGAAATTATAAATACACGGAGGATTAGTAGGTAAATCATGAATTAATTAACCACCCCCCCCCTAATTCCTCAATTGTGCCCTACGGGTACGTCCCATTAAAATGAGACTAGTCGTTACCACTCCCAAATTGTGTAAGAAAGCTTAGGGGGTTAATGAAAGTGGAATATAATAAATTTAATAAAGATGCACAACTATAACCTAAAACCCTTATAACTCAATTAATATTATGCATATAAATGCGTATTAAAATGTTTCCTATATTTTATTGATTATAAAAGACTTATAGTTGATCTATCCATTCCATTATTATTTTTGGTATTTATTACTTCTCCAAATGTCTAAATGATTGTAATCTCAGATCAGTAAATAGCATGAATAAAGTACTCTAATAAGTTGTGATACAAAATGCAACACAAGTGTTATAAGACATAAAAGTAGGTTAGATTAAAATTTAAGTAAGATAATATCAGTCCCTAAAATAAGATATTACAATTTATAATATTATATGAGATGAGACTAAACTAAGATTTCTAGATAAATAAAACAATAGGTCAATAAGTATATTAATAAAGTCAAGTAAATATTTTTACCTTATATACCTACATCTAATCCATGTTTATTTTTTATTGTATTAATATGTTAGCATAGGACTGAGGTGTACCCCCTAAAATAAATATAGCTCGCCAGTTATTTAAAAAACATTAAAAGTATTATCATTTCATTATTAAAAGATAAGTTTTAATTTTAGAGATACAGTTAAATAGATCCATAGTTTTAGTATATTTAAATATGTACTCACATAACAAGATTAATACTTATAAATCTAAAGAACAATTAAATACCAAGCATAAGTTAATAATTTACAAGGGACAATTAATTATATCTCGGGAACAGTGACTTAAGTCTTAAAATTGTACATATTAATCCTTATGTCTAGATCTTTAAGTTAAATTTTAAGTTAAATTTTGCTTAAAGCCTCAAGCTTTAAGATAGAAAGGTATCATGGATAATATATAGCTAAGGGCTAAATAGTCAAAGTTAATAAAGGTTATTAGCAAATAATAAGATAACAAATGGTGTTATCAGAAAATAGAATAAAGAGATGATTTTAATCATAGGTTTATTTATGAGGTATTAATATTGTTTTTTTATTGAACCTTGTTCTTTAAATAGTGTATAATCTGAATTAAAATATAAATTTATAAGTAGAGTAACTCTATTAGTTATATGAACATAATAGTTATTTATTTTTCAATCTATTTAATTATGGACTTCTTCTCTAACCATACTGAATGGATTCTCTATATTAGATAAATCTATTTTATTAAGTTAAGTATATATATATTAATAGTAACAGGGTTAATAACTTATATAATAGGTATATATGGTAGACATCCATAAATATTTTAATTAATGATATAAAATATAATAGAGTAATAGATGAATTAAGAAGGATATAAAATATAATAGAGTAATAGATGAATTAAGAATGCTATAAACTTAATCTTTAATTACCATAAATACTTAACTATTTTACTATTAAATTACTTTATTAATTATAACCTTACTTATTAAACATATTAGATAACCCCCAAATTGACTCTATAATCTAATATAGTAAACCATTACTAATACCTATTTATTTATGTTTTTTCATCTAAATAACTTAAACTCAATCATAACTTTATTACTAAAACTACTACTAGTATCCGATCTGTAATACGTTATAAGTATATATCCTTTGTAACATAAATATAAAAAGGATATATTATTTTAACATGTACATGGATAATAATATGAATATTGATCTATTATTCTTCTAAATATTCAATTCAAGGTAGTTCTTATTTACCATTTTCTCATTATCAATTTATATATAAGTAATACTGCTGACTTTTTTATATTTTAATTTAATTTATATTTATTGTAGAAACTATTTAGTTACTTTATTAATGAATATAAATTGATATAAGAATTCCTTATTTATCTTATATTCTAAATAGGTAGGTAATTTTATCCAGATATAAGTCCGAGTGTTTAAATTGGTAAACAAGATAAACTTAAGCTTTATTGGCTAACGCTTTGGAGGTTCAAGTCCTCCCTTAGATATACCTAATATTTATTTTCATGTAAATAGATATCTCTTTATTTTAATCTAATTAATTTATTTTTAAACTAGTCTCTAATTTTATAATTAAAAGGACTTAAATAGTGATGAAGAATAAAATAACTACTTTATGATTTTATAACCTTACAATTCCTTTGCTAACGGGCTAATCATAAAATAATCAATTAAACCTGGTATCCATACTCTTAAAACTAGAATAAAATAAATAATATTAAACAATACAAATAAATATAAACGTAATTAATCAAAAAAAGGAAAAACATAATAACAAAAAAGGATGAAAATACACTTATAATTTGGTTGTTGTTATAAATAAATGCTATTATGATAATGCTATATATAATTAAATACTTTATGACAATAATCATGAGATATAATACTAAAAGCTATTTTTTAATTTTTTAATCTCTAAAAGTTTACCGTGTTAGTACATTGGTATTTTTTAATCATCAGTCAGCAATTTAGAGTTTCCAAAAGAGATATGTGGAGAGTAGGAATCGAACCTACCTTGGCATTATACCACTGATTTACAGTCAGCTACCTAACCAATCGGTCACCTCCACTAACAGATACTCAATTTAAAGCTAACATGTTAATTACATATTATTATTCTTCTCTCTTATTAAAACGTATTAAATATTAAGTTATTTTGTATTTAGGCTATAATGGACGTTGGGATATTCGGATCATCCCTTATGAGCGACTATAAGGAACATTTATTTAAGAGAATATGACCATCATATTAACTTATTATATAACGTTAAAATTAAGATATGTCATTATATATTTCCTATTCTTATCTACAGGTGAATTAGTTAATTGTATAATATCTAATATAACTAAATTTATGTAGGATCAAAGATAACGGCTATATACTATTTTAAATATACTAATTCAATCCTTACAAATTGTGTAACTCCCTTTATTAGCTTATTATAATAAATAGGAAATATATGCAAGTAATTAGTGAATTTTTATCGAGAAAAAATTCCTGAACTAGATATCTAAACCATTATTTAATAAAAAAACTAACTAAAGCCGGCTACGCAATCACAATAACTGTTATAGGCTATGGTTTGTACATTCCTCATTATGGTAGTACCAGACTAGACATATTAAAAGTATTAAAAAATGTATTTCTATAAATTTTAAATTTTATTATAGTTTTTTTTTTTATTTGTTAGTTCATATGTGTTTAAATAGTATATTTAGTAATTTATTTAGATCATAATTGAGATATATTATACATTATTTCCTAGTTTTATATATTTGTCTATAAAATTAATATATCTAATGGACAACATAGGTTATGTAAGTACATATTTAAATATACTACCAATAGGGGTTTATAACTTACTAGAGTATAGCAATTTGTGTGTAGATATAACTCGTTATAAAATAGTGTCATGTTTTAATTTGTTAGATAACTATATATAATTAGACAATTATATTACCTAATAAAATGCAAATTATTAATTGTCTGAATTCATCACCATGTTATGGAACCACAAAATTTAATTACTTAATTAAAATTTCAGTATTACTTCATATAGGGGGTAAATAAGTTTGTATCAATGTAAAAACCTGGTGCTTTAATTTTTAACCTATCCTTAATTGGTATATTTACTAATGTCTCTTCTAATAAATCGTATTATTTATGCTTGATCGAACCCTACGGGTTCATAACGGCGGTAATAATTTACATGGTTGGAAAATTTCACGACCTATATTAATTGATTATATTTCGGGGTGATAAAATACATTGACCCGTTAACTTAATGGGTTTTTACGGACTCTTATTAGGTTTTGGTATCTGGAAGCATAGAGATTTCATATATTACACCTATTTATAACCCAGTTTTGTATTAATAGATGCTGATGAACTACGAAATATAACACGTAGCATTTTCGTAAATATGTCTTAATACTACTATTGATTATTGATCCTATAATGACTATATAAGGATCACAATATTGAACTATTTAGCTATCTATTATTATACTGTCACTAATTGATATTGAATATCATCACTTGCTGTGCCACAAGTAATTAAAGTATAGGTATCCTAAAATAATTAGGATATATATTTTTCCACTCCGCCGTCCTCGTTAAACTTTATATTGTTTTTCACTGCGTTTTTACTTTTTTATATCTATGTAAATTGTATCGTATTGAATCAACATAACCACTTTATAAGTCATATAATAAAATAGTATTTATTTATTTAATACTTATATTTGTAATGACTATTTTATAAGTAGGTTTAAAAGGTTAAATCCTATGTGAGTTATCATTTTTATTATCGCGCATTACAAATATCTACATTCAATAGGGATTTGGGAGATCATATTTATAAATATGAGTTAGTATTTATAATATTAAATGTATTCCATATATAACCTAATTAATAATGAATAATACTAACTCTGAATTATATATTAAAAATTTATCCTAGCATTTATTATTCCATTAATAAATATATAATGAGAGGGGTAAATTATCGAAAGGTGCATTTTAAATAACAATTAGAACTACCTTTTTATAAAACCTATGCCAAAATATAAATTAGTAACTACTATCTTATATGCAGTTGATAAGTTTATTTTAACAATTGTAATGATCTATATAAATTACTTGGTAACAAATGGAAGTGTTTGGGTTCGTGCTTTATAATTGTATCTCATATGAGGAAGTTAACTCATTTAGATCATTTATGACTAGCTGTTTCTGTTTATACTTGATATTAGTATATTTTGATACTTTGTTTGGGCCTCTTAAAATATATCAACCCTCCGATTGTAGGTGTATCTCCAATATTTTTTATTTACATCGAAAATTTTTATGCGCAAATCTTTTTGCATGGATTCCAGGGTATGTTGCTTCCTCATTCAATTTGTTTGATAATTAAAGTATATAAATGTAATGAATGTAATTTAATAACATAATATAAGTACTAATGCAACTTAACATAAACTTATGGTTATTATAATTCATATTATTGTTTACATTTAAGATAAATACTTAAGGTAATCTTTCTTAGTCTTACTGGTAAATGTAAAAGCAAATTTGTACTCCTTTTTAACGATCTGTACTTTCATATTCATTAACGGTTGAAAAGTATTGTAACTTTTAACTGTTAACACCTATAAAGATGAGAATATAAAAGCTTAATTTTGAATCAATATAATGTTGGATTAATTGAACCCTCTGTATAACTGTTAATTTAGAAATATAATATAGAAAAAGACTGTAACAACATGAGGAAATAAACCCTTTAATAAAAATTGTAATAATAATAGCTGGGAGATAAATTGTATACTACTTAACAAAAAGGATAAATGATAAAAGTATAAATAAGGAGTGAACCAATCAACAACATAAAAAGCATTTTTTTACTAGCTACCAACCTAACCAATTATAGGAGACATAAAAATCTACTTTTATACCGGATAAGAACCTTTTATTAAAAATTCCTGTTATAATACTTTATAGGATTTCACTTCTATTCCCATTATAATTTATTTTGTAACGTTAAATTATATGAGTTTTATAAGGAATATTAATAAATAAATTATAAAATTCAAACATAATTTATTACTATTTTATTGTTTAATAAATATATTTCATCCTACACTAAATAATACTCATCCTACACTAAATAATCTTAATACTAGATAATACATAATATTATCATGTAATTCCACTAAACCTTCCATTTGTGGAGTAGCAATCTCAAGCTTCTGGCGCATCAAAATATATAGTTTAATAATAATATAACCATATGAAAATAATAAAGCATTTATAAATAGTTAGATTGCTGTTAGTATAAATTAACATTTTTATTATGAAACCTACTAAATTGTGATTAGTAATCCTTAATAATAAGTAGATTTAAGTGTGCGCCCTGCGAGTTTTATTATTTGCTCGATATTGATTAAGGTGTAAAGATCTAAACATAGGAGTATTACATTATGTTTATCTTGTGCGGGTCTGCCAGCGCCAATAACTTGGCAAAACTTAAAGCAGATAGTGAATGCGGTGTTGAGAACTTCCAGAGGTACGCAAACATCAAAAAGTTGTTCATTACAATTATATAATTCCTTTCGCGAAGCATTTATCCCTTGGGTAAAAATGGCATATATATTTTTCGAGCGAGTTTACATCAGCGGAAAAAGATATTATTCTTCAATTGGATCAAACTCCCCAGACTCTTCACTGGTAGTGCCAGTTATTCTATATTAAAATGTCGATATACAAAAACTTAATAAAGGAAAATGCAGATCATTTAATTAACAAAGAGACAGGATAAATGCTTAAGTATAAAAGCATAGAGAGAAAAAGTTTTTTTGGTATAAACCACTTTAGATAAAAAAATATGAGAGTACATTTATAAGGATTTATCATTGATAAATTAGGTATCGACAATAGATAACTGATAAATATGTAGATGGCTGCTAAATTAATAGGAGCAGGTTTAGCTACAATTGCATTGGGAGGTGCAGCAGTAGGTGTCGGTTTAATCTTTGCTGCTCTAGTTACAGGTACTTCTAGAAACCCTTCATAGAAACAAGAACTATTCTCTTCTGCTATACTTGGATTTGCTTTGACCGAAGCACTTGGACTATTTGCTCTAATGATGGCTTTCCTAATTCTATACGCTTTCTAATAAGTATAAAAATATTGATGACATAACACTTTATAACGCATTTAAAAATGATTATAAAAGGAATTTACTATATATAACCTCATTATCATCAAGTAATTAATGGTTTTTTGTATAATTTATCCAATACAAATGTCATATATAAATATCAATGTACGCCTTATATGGCTATATCATACTAATATCACTATTGGCACCCATAATTATATATTCATTTAATATATTGCGTTATTCTCCTTGAGCGCCATAGTATAATAGGCTATAAAAACTAATGTAACTATATAGCAATATATTTTATAAACCGGTTGACAAAACAATAATTCTATATGACATTTTTAACATTATTATAAAATATGCTTTATATCCTTATCATATTTAGTATCCATACAATCATGTACTTCCATTCTAAACCTTGCGACCATTTACATATTGCGTAGCCGGGTAATCCATCTCAAACATTGACACTTGTGTATAATTTATTATAAAAGTATATAATTAATGGACTGAGCAATATTATATAAGTCTCTACAACAATATAATTGACAACATATTAAATGTGCAATCAAGTAATCTATTACCACTATTATTATTAGATCTCTCTCTCATCTGACATGGACTATATATACCGAATGCGCGTCTCACTATCATATATTACTTATCTCCTCAGATGATATACATTTTATAAGTATACGGGCCTTATTCCTATTACATTTATCTTCTTTACTCAATCCATTTAATAAACATTATATTAATAAATAAATGGGAATTGTTTCTTAATCAATTCAGAAATATCAGTAGCAATATGTTTAGACAAAGCAACATTAATAGAATCAATTTGAGTTTGACTTAATTTTCTTTTAGGTTTATTAAATAAAGAATTAAGAGTAAAATTTTTATTA